AAATATTCACATCTCAGAATACTCAACTTAAACCGTATCACACAATAAGGGATCAATAACATGTGAGATAATACATAAGGAGGCATAGAGACAGTGATATAATACGCGGATAAAGCATCACGACTGAGGGTATGACTACAATTAAGGCAAACAGATCAAAATGCAAGAATAGCCCTATCACGTCTCAAACAGATAAGCACATAACTTAGACATGATTTCTAGCATGAATAATAGCTCAAGTAGTCATACAAGTAGAGAAAACACGGATGTAACGAGGTATGATAGCAAACCAAGGAATATAATAGCCTAAGGTCTACCCGGATGATGAATAACCATGGTGTATGCACATAAGCCCGTCACCTAGCACGTGTGTCATCCCCAACATATATCACAAGTATCATAGCCAACGAACAATTACCCTCAAACCAAGTTTAGACATGTTACTTACCTTAAAGCACGCGAATCAATACTCTAATAATCCCTTCAAACCGAATCGACTTCCAAAAGACACGAATCTAGTAAAAAATAACTTAATAACATCAAACATGATATAGAAATTGATTCTGAGTAATAAAGCTTTGATCTTTATCAAATTCTGAAAAGTCAACCAAAAAGACAACCTATGTCCGCTTCTTGGAACCCGACAAAAGTCACAAATTCTGACTACCCATTTGAATATGAGTCCACATATATAAGTTTCATCCAAAACCAACTCCAAATCGGGGTTCAAATCTTCATTTATCACATTAGAAAAGTTTTGCCAAAAACCCCAATTTTTCTCTTAGATTCACCAACCAAAAGTCAAAACGAAGATGGAATCATGAAATAAAATCAAATCCAAGTAAATACTTAGTCCAATCCAAATGGTAAAATCTCATCAAAAATTGCTTCAATCCGAGCTCCCAATCTCAAAATAAGATAAAATAAGCCAAACCCTCAATTATAAGCGTTCTGCCCGGCGATTCTCCCTTCTGCGTGCTCCAGCTTGCATCTGCGAGTTCGCTTTTGCGACCAAAGGCTCGCTTTTGTGAGCTCCACTCAAAAGCCGACCTTCTGCTTCTGCGGACCAGTATCCGCTTCTGCGAACAATGGGGCGCACTTACGCCATTGCATCTCTGCAAGGTCCATCGCATCTGCGGACTCTGCTACCTTCCCCCTTCCTTCGCATCTGCGATCCCCAATCTGCTTTTGCAGACTCGCACCTGCTCACTAAACATCATAGGTGCTAAAGTACCAGAACCAGACTTGCCAATTCAACCTCAATTGATCCAAAACTCACCCGGGCTCATCAGAACACTATCTTATCATACCAACCAAACCCAAAATATAATATGGACTTACTCGAGGTCTCAAATCACACAAAATAACATCAAAATCACAAATCGCTCCTCAGTTCAAGCTTGATAAACTAACTAACTTTCAAACTTTCAAAACTCATGCCGAACCACGTCTAACCAACTCGGAATGACCTCAAATTTTGCGCACAAGTTCCAAATGACATAACGGACCTGTTCCAATTCCCAAGGATCCTAAATAGACCTCGATAATCACAAAGTCAACTCCCAATTAAACCTATGAACCTTTCAAACATTCAAAGTTCTAACTTTCGATAATTAGAACTAAATCAACCTATGAACCTCCAAATCCAGATTTGGACATACACCTAAGTCCAGAATCACCATACGAACTTATTTGAACTACCAAAATACAAATTAAGGTCGTTTACATAAAAGTTAAATGTTGGTCAACTATTCCAGCTTAGAGCTTCCGAATTGAGAATTACTCTCCCAAATTAACTCCGAACCTCTCGAAAAATTGAAACCTACCATACACGCAAGTTATAATGCATAATATGAAACTACTCAAAGTCTCAATTACCCGGACAAAGTACTAAAGCTCAAAATGACCAGACTGGTCGTTACAATAAGATAGAGTAGAAGAGAAAGATCCATATAGGTGATACTTACTAGTTAGGTTTCAGAACTTCTAATATATATATATATATATATATATATATATATATATATATATATATATATATTTGCAAATTCACTAGGCAGTGTGCCTAGTACTATTCTTTTTTATAAATTTTCACAAATAAAAATAGTCATTACAAAGTGCATCAACTATCAAAAGGAGAGAACTAACATTGGACCTATTACCAAAACAGAGCAGGAAGTACTCTATTTTAACACTATAAGGATGTTCGACGTAGCTATAAAACATGCATCAAAGACATGTCCAAACTGAAAATAAGCTATAAAGTACATTTTTGACTCCAATGTGATGAACTAAGATGTGTTCCCAACTGATCCAAGTATCCGACATGTGTGCAAAAGGCAGCTTCTTATCAATCCTGCAAGTACCATCAAATTGCAATGAAACCAATAGAATTGATATGATGGTGTATCCTTCATTTGTGTGATTCCTTGCATCCGCTCGATCAGCTAAAGGCCTTCAATAGTAGTTCCAAAATACCAATTAAACACTGTCCAGTAGGTGGGAAATGACTGCATTGGGTGAGCATAATCATGCAACATATTTATCATCCATCGGTCTGTTAGTGCTTTGTTAAAATAGTGTCTAGATTGTAACTGGAAACTAAAGATGTTTCTATCCAAGGTGACCATTGTCATGACCCCAATTTCTCACCGGAGGATGCCATGATAGCACCTAGTTTCTAAGACTAGGTAAGCCTAATATGCATGGAGAAACAATGGACATAATAAAAAACTTCAAATTTAAAACATCTAGCTATCATAATAGAACTCAACAATACCGCTGACAATAACTCCCAAAAGCTGGTGAGATGGAGTCAAAAGCTCTACACGAATATACTGTAAAATTTCTAATATATCACTGTCTAAATAAAGAGTAAGCAGAAGAAAAACAAGGATAGAGAGTGACTCTGAGGCCTGCGAATGTCAGGCAGGTATACCTTGAAGTCTCCGAACTGAATGCTCTACTCACTGGTGCCTAGCCTGGGTCGAGGTACCTGGATCTGCATAAAAATGTGCAAAAGAGTAGTATGAGTACATCACAACGGTACCTAGAAAGTATCAAGCCTAATCTCGATAGAGTAGTGATGAGGCCAGGTCAAGACACCTACTAGGATAAGAAAAAGAAACTAAACTAGTGTAGTCTAGTCTAATAATGAAAACGAGAAAATAGTGGCAATAAAGCAATACAACAAGGTAAATTACAACTTAATTTTAAGCAATAAAGGCAACAAGAAAGGGACACATAATAACAACATGGAGAAAACAATGTGGACAAATACAAGTAAGGTAAATGAGAGATAACAACAAGAATCACAACCGAGGTAACGCCTCGTAATCTCATTTCACAATCACAATCTCAATCTTTCTTTATACCGCCGTGTGAGCCTTACATTTAAATAGTTTTGAAAACATTTTTACCGAAATAGCCACATGCACTTTAGTCCACCTTATATCGCCGCGTGGCTTCAAGTAATTCTCTTACTAGCGACACGCACATAAATCCCACCTTAAGCCGCCGCATGCACATTAGCCCCTATCCATGTACTGCCGCATGCGCATCAATATCACAACACAATAATTCTCATACCACAAGTGCCCATATGCCACGACTTTGTCAAAAGGATCAACAATACCAATGTTTCCACAACAAATAGCCCGTAGCTCAACCACAATGTGCACAAGAATCTCAAAAATAACAAAATAAAAGTGAAAGGCTCAACATAAAAGATATCTCAACAACATAACAACTTTGCCTCAATGTGTCATACTGAGATGTGGCGACAATATTTGTAGACCAAACTATCAAACAAATAAGGAATTTTATTTATCTATGCTATATTATAAACCTAATTATTTACTATTATAGAAGTTTTCACGTAATTACATATCTTATACATAATTACCAATTGTATATAAAGTAATGTATTAGCTCAAATCTTTCCCATTTTTCCTCCCTCTTCCCTCGCTCAAACACGCTTCTCTCCCCTAATAGCCCAAACTGAATCAATCAGTGCAATTATTTAAGCCAAATTAGTTGGTTGGGGGTTGGGAGGGGGGGGGGGGGTAGGGGGGGAGGGATTTGCAATTGGCTATTGTACGTCTTATCTACGCATTTGGGATGTACATCTTATCTACGCATGTACAAAAGGAATCCCCTTTTCTACAACAAAAAGAAAAAAAAAATCACTACCTAAATTGCTCTTGCAAATTTCAAAGTGTAGACCGCATTTGTGGGAATACACTTATTTTGTATTTGTTGTTGTTGTTGTTGTGCTTGAATAGCTGTTTGGCACAAATCTTATTCGTACTTAACAGTAAAACCAAAAATTTCACGTGTTGTTTTAGGTGAACTATAATTACACTTTGTTTGGGTGGGTAAAACTTGAAGGCGAGCTTATATTCCATTGACAACCATTAAAATGTTTTGTAACTTTCAATTTGTAAATCGAGTTTTACAAAATTATTATTTGTTTAAATTAGGTGTTATTTCAAATGATTGAAAATATCCTTTGGAGTTTATATCTCAATGTTAAATAAATTTGGTGAAGATTTGAGTTAATTTTGATTCAAATTTAGATTGAAACTCAAAGAGAAAGACAAATAAATTATATATAATTTATATGTTGGGTGTGCAAACCACATAAAAAATATACACAACTAATATAACTATATGCAAGTTATATGTGTTTGACCAAATTGTATATAAGTTGTATGTTTTGATCAAATTTGTATATATTTTACTTTTTGTAAATAAAAAAATCTATCTACACTGGGTAAATACTATATTAATTTCGTATTTATTGCAAAAGTTTATCTTTGAAGAGACATTATGGAAAGATAAGTCGCTTGCTATGGAAGCGACTTGGTTCGTTTGTCCAATTGTCATGAGAAATATTTCGCTGGTAAAGATCCTCACAGAAAAATTTATTTCTATTTTCTTCTCCAAATGGAACTTGTCAAATAAAAATAAATAAATAAATAAATAAAATAGGAAAAACAGAGAGAATAAGAACATAGCTAATTCGAAGAGGGGGGAAAACATGTGACAATGTGAGACTTATTCCAACATGGCATGTCCATGTTATGCAAATATAATCTTCCTACATTGGTTGGCTTAGCAGAGGGATGTCTCCACTTCATTAGTTGGTCAAGGATCGAGTCACAGTGGGTTAAATAAAAAATCACTACTGATCCGTTGGTGGGTAAAAAATGACTATATATTACATGGTTCCTTTTCTTGAAATGTCTAATCGCAAGAGGCAACTGCTAGTGCTACACTAAGATCATTTGAGGTTCCGCTTATGTACATTCTGTATGTTTCTAACTCATGTTGATAACCCCTGGGAGCATGACCACCATAGTAATTCTCACTAAGGTGACCATGCTTGGTGAATATGATCTCTCTCAAGGTTGGTTCATGGCCATTTAGAAGATTTCCCAGGCTCAACACTTTCCTCCATGATTGGTTAGCGGTGGGAGTTGTGAACATGCTTGCCACTATCTCCCTTTCACGTCGTCCAACTTTTTGTTTCTTTTCGAAATCCTAAGAGATGAACCAAATTCTTAAGCAAATAACAAGGCAAAAGAGAGCTGTGTAAAGTGGGGACTAGTCCTTGGAAATAATACAAGATAACAGAAAGGACCGGCCATGAAGGCTAAAGTGATGGACCAAAAGTTGTATGCCTTCCAAGTAGTTCAGCACAAGCATAACATATTCTTGACCCAGATATTAATCTCTCATTCATGAAAAATCAAAAGAGAAAACACGTTAAGTATACCTTTTTTACTTCACTGGCAGTTGAGACTGTTCCCATTCTTGGTGCATAAAAGTTGTAGCAGTCATTGAAAATTGATTCTAATAGACGTGGTGCATTCATGAACTTGGTATAAAGCGATGCAGCAAGTGTTATCAACTTCTCGACATGTTCAAATATTTCACAAAGCCGCTTCAAGTCTTGAATATCTTCAGTGTCAATAGAAAGATTACTTGCTGTAACACAGAAAGCCAAAACTGTCCAGTTACAAGCTTGCAAAGACCTACTATAACGCAATAACATACTTGATTGACAAGTTTACTTTGCAAGCATCTGAGAGTGGCTGCCATAGTGAGGTTAAGTTGTCCAATTTTGGTTGTCAGCTGCTTTAAACCACCAAATGTTGTTCTGTTTAGTGTGTCTGCAGCTGCCCTAAAAGCAGTACAAACCATTTGTTCCAGTAGTTGACACGGCCGCAGTGTTTCCAAATAGTGAAGAACCTAGGTCAGTTGAAGAATACAAATTACTTTCAACCAAATCAAGAGATCAATGTAAAAGGGATTGGCTGTCTAAAGACCAACTATTGGAGATGAGCGCATGCTACTTCGTGGTAAAAAATCTAAATACATGTGTACTCCTAGGTGTTTACTTTTAAGATCCTAATAAGAGGCAGAAGGTTGCTTCAATGGGCAAATGACTACATGTCACATCCCTTGAACAATATCGCCATATTTGTCACAACGAAACAAGACACCATGTGGGGAAAATCAATCCCCTACCGGCGGAAGTTGGCCCATATTTCATATCCCCAATTCACTGAATATTTGTGCTAACAACATGCAAACGATAATGTCCATTATAGGTGTCTTACCTGTGAGAAAGCACGGGAGAAATTATATTATTGATATTCTGTTTAATTATAATATAATAAGCCCTATTTATACAATACATATCCTACTCCTATTCTATGTGGGACTAGGACTAATTCATTTTATTTACATAATTATCTAGCACTCCCCCTCAAGCCGATGCATACAGATCATATGTACCAAGCTTGTTACATATGTAACTAATACGCGGACCAGTGAGAGACTTGGTGAAAATATCTGCAAGCTAGTCATTCGACTTCACAAACTTTGTAGTAATATCTCTTGAGAGTATCTTTTCTCTGACGAAGTGACAGTCAATCTTAATGTGTTTAGTTTTCTCATAAAACACCGGATTTGATGCAATATGAAGGGCAGCTTGATTATCACACACAAGTTCGATCTTGCTGATCTCGCCTAATTTCAACTCCTTGAGCAACTGTTTGATCCAAACTAGTTCACATGTTGCCAGTCATTGCTCGATATTCTGCTTCTGCACTAGACTGAGCAACCACATTCTGTTTCTTGCTCTTCCAAGACACCAAATTACCTCCTACTAAAATACAATATCAAGAAATAGAACGTCTATCAGAAGGTGATCCTGCCCAATCAACATCTGAGTATCCAACGATCTGCTCATGGCCTTGATCTTCAAACAATAATCTTTTGCTCGTAGCAGATTTTATATACCGAAAAATGCGGACAAGTGCATCCTAATGACTATCACAGGGAGAATCCATAAACTGACTTACAACACTCACAGGAAAGGAAATGTCAGGTCTAGTCACCGTGAGGTAATTTAATTTACCAACCAGCCAGCTATGTCTTGCAGGATCGCTAAAGGCTCCCCCTGTCTTGGCAGAAGTTTAGAATTCGGGAGTGTCAACAGGTCTATAACCTATCATTCATGTCTCCTCAAGAATGTCCAAGGCATACTTCCGTTATGAGATCACATTACCTAAGCTAGACTAAGCAACCTCAAAGGATCTCTCACTAGGGGTGTGCATTCGATTTATCGATTCGATTTTGACCCTTATCGATAATTACTTATCGATTATCGATTTGTACATATGCTTATCGTTATCGTTTCAATAAGGTTTCGATTTTTTCGATTTCGATTTATCGATTTTGGGGGCTTATCGATTCGGTTATCGATTACACCAATAAGAAAATTTGCGGAATTCCACGGAAAGTATATCGCTATAAACGCGCCTAACTAATATGGACATAAAGAAGCTAAAATAAGACGAACACCATTTATAATATAAAAATTGTGTCGACAAGCACATGCAACAAAACTAAAGTAAGGGATCAAATGTATGCCACCAACACTCCAACGGTATAAAAAAAACAAAACAAAACAAAACACATCATCACGGCTAATTCTGTTTTCCATTAATTTGAACTCCATTCCCTTGATCTTTAAATATGATCATTCCTTAAATGTGGCAGAGGAAATAATAGGGTAAGGGACTTAGGGTAAAGGAAAGGGTATAGATTAGGGAAAATAATATTGTATAGCCGCTTTCAAAATAGTAGCGGAATATATATACATTATGTATGTTATATTAATCTACACAAATAGGTAATTACTCATTTAACAAGTGTCTACAGTCTACGGTGTGCATTCGATTTATCGATTCGATTTTGACCCTTATCGATAATTACTTATCGATTATCGATTTGTACATATGCTTATCGTTATCGTTTCAATAAGGTTTCGATTTTTTCAATTTCGATTTCGATAACAAATAATCGATTCGATTTATCGATAAACCGATTCGAATGCACACCCCTATCTCTCACGGTTGCTCTGATACCATGCGAGAAAGCACGGAAGAAAATATGTTATTGATATTCTGTTTAATTATAATACAATGAGCCCTATTCATATAATACATATCCTACTCCTATTCTATGTGGGAATCAGACTAATTCATATTATTTACATAACCATCTAACATTACCTAGGGCACCATTAGAAAAACCCTAGGGAGTGGATGCCTTTATATAGGAACTTTTTCCCCAGCAAGCTACCATTGAATCATGTTCATATAGCTTGACACTTTCGTACAAACGGACAAGTGGAGAATGTTATTTCTAACACCTTCCCCAGGAAAAGCGTCATTACTGCTTTTATTGTCGTGCCTTGAATCTTTTGCACTCAGGTAACACTTGTGAAGTACATATATGAAATCACTTCAACCGAAGGCATCAAAGTACATCATTACGACACTTTTACCAAAAGCTCTAGAGAGCACAATAAAGAGGGACTTTTTAAAATAATCTTCTGAAACTCCAAGGTCACATACGTTAGGGCAACACTCATGAAGCCCTCTAGTTGATCTCTCGATTAAAAGAAAGTTATTTCCTATATCTGACGGTACCCTGTAGAGGCGAAACTACGTTGAAGAGAAAGGGTCTCGGGCACCGGCCAACTTGACAAGAGTTTTGTTTTATGTGTATATAATTCTTATAACTCTTTTATATGGTAAGGTTGGCCCCATAGAAATAAAGCACTTGTGGGTACCTTGGTTGAAGGTTTGCCCATTTAGGGCTTTCTTTATGACAAAGCCATGTATCGTTAAAGGTAACTCACATATTTTTTAGACGATCCATCTTTTTTTACTTTTTCTCCTATTCTTTGTTGTTTCTCAATTCTACTTTCTCCTAACTCAGTCTCTAAGAATCTCCTAAAAAAATATATTCAGACTCCAACTATTTTTTGGCGATCTTCAATTCGATAACATCAAGTAGGTGCTTATATCCATAGTTGTGCAACTCCTCAATTCGTTAGCTTCAAGTGGGTGCAACAACAAAAACAACTATGCCTCAGTCCAAATAACTTGGGTTCGGTTATATGAATTCTCACTGACCATGTTTCTTCCATTTAAGCTCAACTCATGTCATCATCATACAGAATAAAAATGGAAGTAAAAAGTAAGTTAATGTACATGAATAATACTAATAATATTAATTAAAAAAAAATTAAGTTCGACTGGGTGCATATATACATATTTCTGTAGCTTCATTTTGCCATACTTTCTACTTCTTCTCCTTCTCCTTCTTCTCCTTCTTCTGTGAGGCTTGAATCACAGGTTATCCCTAGTAGAGGCGGCTTCAAGTACCTTGGGTCGGTTATCCACGGGGGAAGGGAGATCGATGAGGATGTCGCACACCGTATTGGGGTAGGTTGGATGAAGTGGAGGTTAGCATCCGTAGTTTTGTGTGACAAGAGAGTGCCAACGATACTCAAAGGTAAGTTCTATAAAGCGGTGGTTAGACCGGCCATGATGTATGGGGCTGAGTGTTGGCCTGTTAAGAACTCACATATCCAAAAGATGAAAGTAGCAGAAATGAGGATGTTGAGGTGGATGCGCGGGCACACTAGGATGGACAAGATTAGAAATGATGATATCCGGGAGAAGGTGCACGTGGCTCCCATTGATGACAAGATGCGGGAAGCGAGGCTCAGATGGTTCGGACATGTTCAGAGGAGAAGCCCAGATGCTCCAGTAAGGAGGTGTGAGCGACTGGTTGTGGAGGACACGAGAAGAGGTAAAGGGCGGCCTAAAAAGTATTGGGGAGGAGTGATCAGGCAGGATATGGCGAGGCTTCAGATTTCCGAGGACATGACACTTGATAGGAAGTTGTGGAGGTCGAGTATTACGGTTGTAGGCTAGGAGGTAGTTGAGTCTTGCGTTACCTTGTACTGTTGTGAGCATAGTCTGGTAGGGTTTTTATCTGAGATAGCTAGGGGCATTGTCGTGTCTTACTATTTTCTCTTTTCGGTGCAGGACCTATTTACTAGCCATCATTTTTGTTTTTGCATTTTTTCTTCTGCATTTTATGTTCCTATTTTTCCTATGATCTCTGTGGTGAAACTAACATTCTCTCCTTTTTGTTTTTCTTCTTATCTTGAGCCGAGGGTCTTCCGGAAACAACCTCCCTACCTCTTCGGGGTAGGGGTAAGGTCTGCGTACATACTACCCTCCCCAGACCCACTTGTGGGATTTTACTGGGTTGTTGTTGTTGTAGTATTGAATTGAAATCTTTGTAGTAGAAAATTATCATGAAACTTGACAATTAACATGGAAAAATATCTTAGCTGCTCCACCCATATGCCCTAAACTCGTCCCCAGCTCTAAAAAACCTGATCAACCCTCCTCAAGAGATTCATGGAAGTCAAGTGATAAGAATGGTTGCAAGCTGTGAAGGAAAGTTTGAACATCTAAGGGGATAAAGAAAGGACTCTGGAAGAGATGGGTAAAAGGCTGTACGAAGCCGAGGAGTTATTTAATTTGCGAGAAACCTGTGCAACCCCCCCCCCCCCCCCCCCCAAAATTAATAAGTGGGTAAGTTTCACCTTAAGTTATGTCTTGTAGCAAAAATATCTCCAAATTTTAACTCGTGGATCAAAAATGCAATCTGTCAAATTACCTAATTGTAGTTCTCTTGATTATATTAGGATGGATTTTTAAGGGTGACAAATAATGATTTAATATCTTGAAGATAACTTTTTCCTAAAGCATAATAGGTAACACAGGAATTTATGCCCGTAAGCATCTCAGAATACCTTTTCTCCTTCTCGATTTGGATCCAAGAGAGGCTTCTGTTCAGAAGCGGGCAAAGGAGGTGCCTCATTCCAAATCTTTCTCCACGAATTGCCAAACTCAGACATTCTTTCTGAAAGCTTTCCTCGAGGGGGCCACTCAACCGTTAACCCTTTGATTGCATTATCGTGAGATCCTCCACTGTCCATATTATCATTGTTCTCCCAGTCTCTAGGTGAATGCCATCGGATGAAATCTTCAAAAACAGCATCTGGATTTGCGGCTTTAAATGCAGACATATCTAGTTCATAGTGCAAGGATTATCAAGGATGAGTTTATGAAGGAGAGATTAATTCATGTGATCTACACATCTAGAAAGCAAATAATTTTCTGAAAGAGTACATTTCATGTGATCCACACAACTAGATATGCAGACTAAATAATTGACATGGAAAACAAATCAAACATTTGATTGACAAATAGGTAGATGCAAAGAGTAACTGCAATTGAAAAATTGACAGAGCATTAACTAACATTGATCAGAGATCCTTAATTCTTAGAGAATTCCTAATCATCAAATGTCTCCGAGTCAGTGAGGAGTAAAGCTGCTAGTATGCAACTTTTTGACATTTATTAGCTCTTGTTTCTATGTTTGTTCTGTAGTAAGGTGACACAGGAACAGCGTGGAAGGCTAGATGAGTCATATCAAGAAACGAATGACTTCAAAATTCTCAATGAGATGCAACTGTCTGTTCAGAAGAAAAGCTGAGAGCAAATGGACCTCTTTTCATCCTTCAGCTAGTGACTGTGCCTATGTCATTTTTTTAATAATATATATAGCTGCAACATTAAAAAAAATAAGAAGGGTAATAACAACGGCGCTCTGCTGTCTGTAAACCAAGAGGTTGACAAATATCAAGACAAAAAATGTGCTAAAAGTAATTAGCTTTAGGCACAAAATCTTTGCATTACAAAATTCTGCAAATGTTTGCAAATTCTCAGTACAAAGCAAGCCAGAGATCTTCAAGAAATATCGGCATTTCTCGGATGGTAAAATGAAATTTTACTTTAACGACCACTGAGAAAATACCACTACATGAACATGGACATGATGCAAGACAGAACAGCAAGGAAGGCCTTTAAGAAAATAAGCACAGAAGTCAGTACCTGATGATAAAATGTCTTTCTCCAGTTGAGCCGAAAAGCTCTGTAAAGGAACATTAGAAACTTCCATTGTCAGATGAAATGAAAGTATTACTGTTCAAGGTGAGGCTTTTAGGTAAAGAAGCAAATGATAGATTTACTGGAAACAACTGTTTTCATCATACGAATATACGATACAAGAAACATCTGCAGATCTCCTCTCCAAACAGCAGTATGATTATGATAGCCAAACAGAGAATGGTAAAAGAGAGTTTTCTGTTCAAGAAATACAAATTGTAGCTCACTCCATATTTCTTTAGCTTTGCATTCTAAACAAAGATTGCTACTTTCCGAAGTGGAACAATATTTTAGAGATACTCCGCAAGCAAAAAAAACTAGAGAAAAAAATAAAAATGGTGGGCTAAAAAGTAGGTCTAACAACGTTGAAGTTAGTAGTCACAACAACAGTGCAAATCCAGGTACAGACCTTCTGGAGAGAACCATATGGTTACGCATTGTAATTGAATATTTCTTAAGAAAATTAGTCAAGAAAAACATTAGCATTAAGGAAAAGTTGCGAGGTCAGACGCGTCCAAGGATCAAGGGATTGCTAAGATGGCTCTTTACACTTTTGTTCCAAACGTCATCATGTGCCCAATCATCTTTACCAGACATACTAGCAATCTCAAAATATGGATAGGTGGTTTCACAATTCATAACCACACCCCGGTACTGAAGATCCATAGAACGGTGAGAAGGTAATAGTATTTCTCTTCTTGAACAGGTTAAGAGCTGTCAAAACAAAAAATCAGAAAACATATACCTGATCCCACTATGCACCTAACTATTCAATTATGACTACTACTTCAGACTTTCCAAAATAAGCACCAATCATTTCAACGACAAGAAGCAATGACCTGCTATAGGGATAGTAATACCACCCAAATTGATGATTATCTATCAGGAAACTGAATTGTCGATAATAGAGTTTGGTGCTCACAAAAGAATCACCTAATGCTTCAACAGCTTGTAGACGTTCTTCATGCATATCTTCGGTCATAACCGGCGGCTCCTATAGGAATTTTTCAAAGTAAAAGAAAAAACTTTAATAGTGTGCACCAGAAACAAGAGAAGGTTGGACAGTAAAAGACGCGAATGAAACAAATAAAGACGTGGTTAGCAATTCAAATAAACCAACCTGTGTAAATGGAGCATGCATGTTCTGTTGAGATTCCAAAAGCATCATAGAACCCACAACACCAGCTGATCCCCTCCTAATACATGATGAAGGCTTAGCATCACCCAATTTCACAGTATCAGAATGTCCAGAATTAGAAATATGACCCACAGAATCTTTTAGACCATCTGGTCTTGATAGACTGCCGAAAAAACAGGAAATAACTCAATTCAAATAAAAAAACAAAGGCAAACTCAGAACATTCTGGTAAGTTTGGAACATTTGTCCAGACTGTGCACAATAGAAGTATCCCCAGCTTACAAGACCAAATTTATAGGCACTGCAATTTTGCAGATCAAAATCAAAGAATTGGTTCAAAAGTAAATGAAGGAAAAACTGAAAGGACTATACCTAGGCTAGTTGAGATTACCTTAAAACCCAAACAATAGAAGCTAATACCAAGAAAGATGTCATAGAAGACTATACACTTTAAAATCTATAGAACAGATTAGGATTAGTCAAGGATCAGCTTGTTTCTCCTTATGAGAGAAAAGGTTAGGGGGGAGCGGGGGAAGGGGGGAACTGACAAGCCCACCTTCTCGTAATACCACATTTTAAGTGTTTCGGATGAATATTGTCTAAAAGGACTGTCATAAGTTTTAAAAAATAGGATATAAAACAGGACTGTCAAAACCAGAACTACTGCATTAATTTATTTCCCCTTAAATGTGTGGCAAATAATGGGAATATTCTCATATACTGTGTGCACGTGTATTGGTAAATGTTTTAATGGAAAATATATTTTAGTGAAAATTGCCTTACTTTAGAAAACTATTTTCGAGATCATTTTCCAGTATTTGGTTGGACATGAATATTAAAGGTTCCAGATGGGGTAAGAAGGCGGTGCTGATGCTAGTGTCAAGCATTACATGCTGCTTGAAGCAAATTGTATGAAGTAAGAGTTGATAATTTATTTATTTTTTGAGAAAGACGAAGTAAGAGTTGATAGTAAGAGTATGTTAAGCTTTTGGGAGTCTTAAAGTTATATTCCGAGAAGTTCATTGCAGTTGCTATTATAATTATCTTACCTTATCTTATTTGTTTTCTTGTGATGGAGGACTATAGTTCTCCTGTAATTCCAAAGCATAGTGATTGTGCTGACGCACTCTAAAGTATGTCCTGAATCTTTGGATGTTTGTTGGATCTACTTCTTTCATTCATTTGTTTTCTAATTTATGCAGAACACCATAAGATTGAGGTGGATATGATGTTTTATGGCTCGATTTGTTAGGTATAGCCTAAAGTGTTTTTCTAGAGAAATATTTTTCAGTGTTTGGTTGCCTTAACCTTTTGAAAAAGTTCCCTTTGCAATAATCGGGAAGCATGGAGTAAGTCTTTCTGCTCTACAAGTATCTCGCGAAGGAATTTTTTTCAACAGGTTAAGGCAACCAAACACAGGAAAATATTTCTCTAGGAAAACACTTTAGGCTATACCTAACAAATCAAGCCAAAAACACCATATCCACCAATCCCAATCTTATGATGTTATTCATAAATTAGAAAACAAATGAATGAAAGTAGATTTGACAAACATCCAAAAATTCATGACATATTTTAGAGTGTGTCAGCACAATCACCATGCTTTGGAACTACAGGAGCATTATAGTACTCCATCACAAGAAAACAAACAAGCTAAGGTAAAGGCCAAGATAATTATAATAGCAACTGCAATGAACTTCTCGGAATACAACTTTAGATTCCCAAAGCTTAACATCCGGAGACTGGAATGCAAGAATGAATAAAAGCACTACCAAAAGGCAGAAGAACTGAAATAACCTACTTTGGAAAGACATGATCCACCGACAACTATCATTCAACATAACACAAAAGGTTCTCACTTGCTTTTCACCTTTCACGTTCTCCAGAAGAAGTCTGAGTCTTTCCATCATGAGGAGATAAACAACGTTTGACCTGAGTCTCTTCCTACATCACATTGGTTAATTGGTTTCCTGTCAGACACACAGCCATAACACTGTTTTGACATTCTTAAACACTTGAAATGATAGCATTTATTGATGCTATAATACCTTAACATGAGCAGGAAAAAAACTTTGTTCACCGCCCTTTGGACTCTCTTGCTCCTGCTGACGCTTTTTATTAATGCAAATTGAAAGCTACACATTTGAGAGAAGAAAAAAAACACAATTAGAGCAAATAGATAATATTTCATCACCATATCTTCAAAAGAGAAAATCCACTAGAGAGAAAACGCAGAGGAACACAATCAGTTAGAAGACTCAAAAACTTCATCTTTCACAAAATTAAAAGATATTGTACAGTTTCACCTTCTCCCAAAGAAAGATTTCACTCTTTATAAGTGAACGGGGCAACAGATTATCATGAAAATCTATGCAAAATTACAGAACACCATATTATAAGCTGAAAAAAAATGACATTTATCCATATCTGGTAAGGTCGGGTCATATTGTACATTCACAATTAGTTCCACTGTCAGATTGTCTACATGTACAGCAATGAATTGCGCGGGTGGACTTCAAAATTAACCACAAGAGGATAGAATGGGAAGGCATAGGAAGGAGCAAGAGAGGGAAACAGACGCGGCACTTAGACAATCTAAATGCTGAATAACACAACTCCTTAGTGGCATATACACACATCCTCATGGAATCTATAGACATGAAATTTCAAGCTCAATATTTTTCAATTCTCTAGTCTATGAGCAGAGCATCAAACTCCAGAGGTTACTTACCATGTGTAGTTTCTGGTTAATCAGGCAGGTAGATAGATCAATTACACAATTAGATGGCATTCTAGGTACTGGCTGTGACTCTTCCCAACACCAGCGAACTTCCCGTACGAACTCTATCCAGAATATAGCAATAGCTAATAGACACCAATAGAAAACAAAAACCTTAGGGAAAAATAAAATCAAAAGTAGACATGATTACAGGAATATACCACGGAAAAGGTAATGTGTTTGAATTGCTCTTGAAGAAAGTCAGAAAAGTACCACGTATATTGCAATCACCAAACCACAGAGCATGCAGACAGAACTGCCCAAACAGTGACTCAAGAGGGGCACCTTTAATGGTGCGGGAATCTTTATGATCTCCATCAGAAAAACCAAGTTGCAGGCCTTCAACTGTATGAATAAATTACAACAAAGCATGATGAACCAATGAAGATGTCAAACTTCTTGTCAGTTAGACCCTGAAATTTGGAATATCTGTTACCACATACCACTAAAATTCTGTAGACAGTTCATCACATTTCATCTAATTTCAAAACTATCTTCTTAAAGTAGATCCATCACTAGTGGAGCACAACCACAAAAATGTATGCGTCTCCTACGTTGCTAGTTGAGCTAAAAATACAGCACATCATCTATGCCCTACCTCACCCTCTTTTTTCTTTTGGTAAGTAAGTGACTAAACCGACCGAACCATACCGTACCGTACCGAACCGATTTTGAGGTTTCTTTTAATAAAACCGTGGGTTTTATATAAATCTATAATTGTATCGATAATTAGAGTATGTTTTTAATTTATGAAAATAAACCAAAAATATACCGAACTGTACCGAATAAATTCACATGTGATAAATATATTTATATATTAGGTTTAAAAATAATAAAGCATTAAATTTTTTTGCAGGCCTTGGAATTATGAAAACGTTACAAGCCAACAAGTATTTAAAACTCAAAATTCTAATTCCAAACCTATTATGCTACTCTTATTGAAACTAAATTATATCCAACATATTCACTAGCAAGACATAATGGTTCTAGCGATTATGAGCAGGAAACTATAATGTATTGAATATGTTTCCTTTCGTGTGATTTGGATTTATTTATTTTTTTGACTATTTAATCTTCTATAGACTTTATTCTTGAGTCCCAGTTGGTTAATATCTTTTCACTCGTGTGATATATATTTTTTTGTTTTTGTTTAATTTTTTTTATGTTGCTGTAGAATAGTTGATGGATCTATACTCTGGCCATCTTTCATGTTTTCTTAATTCATCACCCTTTAAACAGTAAAAATGTCTAAAGAGTTTTGTTAAGTCATATAAAAGTACATATGTTATTGCATTCTACTTCTACTAGTGACTTTTACATGACATTTTAAAAAATACCGAAATTATCCGAACCGTATCGATACCAAAGAGAAACCGATATGATTGGGATGGTTTCGGAAAGTCTACTTTTGGTTATACATAGTAGAATAACTAAAAAATTGGTATGGTACAAATTTTATAAAATAATCGGCTGAACCGAACTGTTGACACCCCTAGGTAAGTTCAATCATCTAGTCGATTTATGAAATATGTATCAGACTAGTGAAAATGACATGTCAAGTTGCTTATCAAATAATGACAGGTTGAGACATTGAGTTGCTCTATCTAACTATGTCACTTTGTTATTGCCAGTCAAAAAGTGACGAAGGCAATAATATTTACTAGTTTGGTAGTTGACTATGCTTAAATAAGCAAAGGATTTGTAGTGTACATACTTCTATACTAGACTAAATGTGGGAAGCCCCCAAGTTCAAATTTGAATTACCATAATGCCCATTAAAAGATAAACGACCATTCTACCCTTAATATTACTCCCTCTGTTTCAATTAGATTAGGTAGTTTGACTCGGCACGGAGTTTAAGAAAAAAAAAGACTTCTGAAACTTGTGGTCTTAAAAGCTTAAGGGGTAAAAGCTTTGTGGGGCCATGACATTTGTGTGGTTATAAAAGCTTCTCACTAAGAGTAAAATGGGTAAAATGAAGAGTTTAAGTTGAATTAGTTACAATTGTAGAAACGTGTCATTTTTTTTGGAACGGATTAATAAGGAAAGTATGTCATCTAAATTGAAACAGAGGGAGTAATATATAAAATTATGTTAGAAAGTTTGACTTGAAATCTTGAACTTTTTAACATTAGCCTTTAATTGTAAGAAATTTATTACTGTACTGTTTCCAGCATACTATTCATCTTCAAAGCTAACATTAGTATTCTTTCTTAACATGTTATCTTCTCGTTTTTGCTCTCACATTGGGTTTCATATTCCTATATTCTTTTGAAATGATCATGTAATGTAATTTTCCACTTAAGTAAAGATTCTTTCAAAGCCATCTGTTATCATTCACCTTTGTGAAATCCTTTCAGCTTCTTGGACTCAACCAACTCACTAGGGGTGAAGTTGGTGGGACACAGTAATAGAAATGTACAAGAATCCATTTTAGAATTTTATAGTCTTGTTTTTCTATTGTAAAAGTTAAAAAGCAAGTGACTTGATTCTCTTTTCACTGCTTATAAGGGCCAAAGTTAGTGTTCTTTCATCTTTAGGTAATTTCTATGTAATATGGAATAGGAATGTGGGATTGCGCTTCACATTTACGTATACAGTGATCATATTACGAGAGAAATAATCATGGCACAACATTAATTTGAAATATTATACAATCATCTTCCTTTTCTTTCTTTTTTTATTTTGTTATAAGGAATGGTGTCTTGGATCTTTCGCACTGATTATTCAATGTTCTTTAAACTGTTCAGCATACTTAATTTATTTTTTAAATTTATTGCACAAAGCTAAACTGCTACACTAAATCTTTTCAAAATGAAAGAATTAGTAATATTCTGGCAAAACAAAATTGTTTTCAATGACAAATAAATTGTATGTGTCTGTATTTTTTTTCTTTTATCTTTGTTTGTCGAATATGTATAAAGAACAATGCCTTCAATATTGTCAACATTTCGAGCCTACACGTGGAGGATTAATATGGCACGAGAGATATGAAAGAAATTCATACACATGATGATTTATGTACTGAGGATAAATAATGATATAACACATGATGGATCATTGATCAACCTTACTGCTTCTGTTTCCGTGGACTTCTGTTCGGTATGGTTTTCTCGTTCGATGTGCTGGTTAAATGAGATTAACATTCATCATTTTCAGGAATTTCAATTTTTTTCTTTAGTTCTCATTTTATAACTCAAAAATATTTTTTAATAATATTTATGTATTTCTCAAAAATTTTATACTCATAAATATGGGGTACACATGCAATGCACTTGTCCAAGAAAAGTTCAAATACTTATTACTCCCTCAAAAACACGCATACTGCTGCTTCACATGTGAAATGCAACTGATCATAATATTTAACCTCAAAATTAAGCAAAAGTAACATAGAGCCAGAGATGGGTATAAAACTAATGTAGAGCCAGAGGTGGGGATAATGCATGTTGAGACCCCAAGAAGCAGCAGTTGATATGCCATAATTGCATAGCGGCACATTTATATAACCAAAGAGGGAAATAATAAAAAAGTCAAAAACAACCACAACAACAACAACCCAGTATAATCCCGCAAGCCACTTGAAAAAATGAATAACTAGTGACATACCCTCATGAAAAAGGTCTTTGAGCACACGATCAAGGACAGTTGGAGGAGGTATGACTGCACTAGACTTCACAGTCTCAGGTCCTGAATGCTCTAATGACGGAAGCAAAATGAAGAACAAATGTGTCAAGATTTACTTCACATGCATTAAGATCTGACATTGAAGCTACATTAATCTGAAAGCTGAAGTACAGATGCTTCATGAACACTTTTAGAACCTGAAACAAAATCTTCTATAAATTTTGCTTCCATTGACATTTCCAGAGCATCAACAAGAAGCCGCAACTGTGATGCAAATCCAATCCTCTTTCCATCAGAATCCTCAGTGCTGAAAATACCAAATGTTTACGAAATAAGACTCCAAATTGGGTGTGCAAAGTTCAGAGGTAAGGCAATCATTGAACCAAAAGAGAATTTTAAGAACAGGATCTCTAAACCCTGCCACTTGCAATTTTAAAAAATTTAAGTGACGCACAAAACAAATAATCCTTCACTGTTTTGGACAGAAGTGAAAGTTTGCTCATTGTACACGATTCAACCTCAGCTACCTGATAACCCTTCTCCCACCCCCTACTCCCCAAAGTGAAAAAAAAAAGTAAATGGGCCAGGAACTTTTTACAACTTTTAACAACACTATTTTCCTCTAGTTATATTTCAAACACCACTCAAAATCATTAGTGTGTTAAAGTCCAGCCGCTATCAGATGTAGAATTACAAATCAACAAATAATACAAAAGATGATGTTCATCGGACACCTACTCTAAGAACTAATCTGCCTCACTGACAAAATTATAGCTGCACCGTCGGGGAAAATGCATCTTTGTAGATCTCTTAAGTAAATATTCTTCATTGATAAAATGAATCGGCATGAAAGACAGAAATCACAGAATGCATTGTTTCTTTAGCCTTTACTACATGAATGAGAGACTTTTGGATAAAGATCAGCAAAGAGAGTCCCGAGAAGTTGTGCAGCCAGCAATCCAATTTTGAGTTAAGGTGGATATTAGGTTTTCTTATTGTTGTAGATTTTGAGAAGAAGAAAAGGCTTCTTGTATTTCTGTGTGTGTTTACATCCCATGAGCAAGGGAATTTATACAAAGATCCTAATGCTAATTAAGCAAATAAAATTAAATTTGTACAATCAATCTAGCTATCAAATCAAATCAAATAAAATCATAATAAAATCAGATCTCTTAAATATGATCAAATCTCCTGAAATCATGCTAATCAACACTCCTAAATCAAGTCTCCTTGAATCATGTTAATCAACATTCCCCTTCGAGTTGGTGCAAAGATGTCGCGCATGCCCAACTTGCAACTTAAAGTATGGAAAGCTTGCTTGTTGAGACCTTTGGTAAATACATCAGCTAGCTGTTTTTCCGATGGCACATGAAACAAACTCAAGACAACCAGTTGTAACTTTTTCTTTGATGAAGTGTCGATCAATTTTCACATGCTTTGCTTGGTCATGTTGGACTGGATTATGAGTTATAGTGATGGCAGCCTTATTGTCTCAGTACAAGGAAAGTTTTCCTTTTTCAGACAGTCTCAATTCCTATAGTAGTTTTTGTAGCCACAGCAGTTCGCAAACACCCTGGGACAAGATCTATATTCTGCCTCCGTACTTGATCTAGCAACTACACTTTGCTTCTTGCTTCTCCAAGTAACCAAGTTTCCTCCTACGAGCGTACAGTAACCGCATGTTGATCTTCTGTCATCTAGAGATCCAGCCCAATCCGCGTCTGTAAAGGCTTCTATTTGGAGGCGATCATGTTTGGAGAAAAGTAAACCTTTCCTTGGAGCAGACTTTAGATACCGCAAAATGTGAAAGACAGCTTGCATATGAGGATCACGGGATCATGCATGAACTGACTCACCAGGCTAACTCAATAGGCTATGTCTGGACTAGTGTGGGAGCGATAAATGAGTCTTCCGACCAGCCTCTGATATCACTCCTTATCAACTGATTCTCCAACTCCGCTTTGTAACTTGTGATTGCTTTCAATGGGCGATTTTACGAGTCTGCAACCTGTCATACCGGTTTCTTTCAAGAGATCCAGAATATACTTCCTTTGAGAAATAAAGATTCCTCTTTTGGATCTAGCGACCTCAATTCCCAAGAAGTACTGCAATTTTCCTAGATCTTTGATCTCAAATTCATGTGCTAACAACTTCTTCAATCGGGACATCTCTTCTTTGTCATCTCCTATCATTACTATGTCATCAACATAAAAGTGTGAGTTTACCCGTTTGATATCTTATGAAGAGGGTGTGATCAGCATTGCTTTGTTGGTAACCGAAGGAGATCATTGATTTGCTGAATGTGTCAAACCAAGCTCTGCGGGATTGCTTCAGTCCGTATAAGGCTTTCTTCAATTTGAATACCTTTCCTGGACTTTGTGCAGTATCAACTCCAGGAGAAATCTCTATATACACCTCTTCTTCTAAGTCTCCATGAAGAAATGCATTCTTCACATCAAACTGTTGCAAGTCCCAATCAAGATTAGTTGCACAAGAAAAAGGAATTCTACCAGTGTTCATCTTAACAACAAGGGCAGATGTCTCTTGATAATCCACTCCATAAGTCTAAGTGAATCCCTTAGCCACTAATCTTGCTTTGAATCTTTCAATTGAGCCATCAGCTTTGTGCTTCACAGTGAAGACCCATTTGCAACCAACCAACTTCTTGTCTGGTGGTGAAGTGACAAGTTTCCAAGTCTCATTTTTTTACAAGGCCTTCATTTGTTTAATCATAGCTAGCTTCCATTTAGGATCTACAAAAGTTTGCCTCCAATTCTATGGAATAGACACAGAAGAAATAGACAAGGCAAAGACTCTATAGGAGGGAGACAAAGAATTATAGGAGACAAAATTAGATAAAGGGTGTTTGGTGGTGCAAGATCCGAATCCTTTTCCGTGAGCAATAGGTAGGGTTGTTGAAACCAAACCGTACCCGTTAACACCGCAAAATTGGCTAATTGGCTTATTGTCGGGGGTAACGGTTGGTGAACGGATTGAAATTTTATAATTAACGGCTTAACGGTTTGGGGACGGATTACTCAATTTCTTATCGGATAAAACATTAACCCGTTAAGAATTTTTATATGCCGATATGGATCAGTTGACCTACCTGAAGCAGGTCCTGCAGTGGTTTCAGATAGTATCAGGTCTCAAAATCAACCTCGGTAAGTGTGAGATTTTCCCGGTGGGTGAGGTTGCTAACATTGATGCTTTGTCTTATGTTCTCAGATGTAAGGTGGGCTCCCTTCCCACTACTTACCAGGGTCTCCCATTGGGCGCTTCGCATAAGGATACTACGGTTTGGAAATCCAGTGATCGAAAGGGTTGAAAAAAGATTAGCAGGATGGCAGAAACAGTACTTGTCAAAAGGCGGAAAGGAAGTGCTCACTAAAAGTACTTTATCGAGTATGCCCACCTATTACTTGTCCCTGTTGCAAGCTCCTGTAAGCATCACACAAAAGCTGGAGTGGCATCAAAGGAATTTTCTATGGGATGCAGCGGATGGAACTAGAAAGTATCATCTAGTGAATTGGCAGACAGTCACTTCCCCAAAGAAGTGGGGTGGGCTTGGAGTAAAAGATCTTAGGGTATTCAATAGAGCTTTGTTGGGGAAATGGCTGTGGAGATTCAGGGTAGAAGAGCATGCTCTATGGAGGGAGGTCATAGTAGAAAAGTACGATTCCACGGGAGGGGGTTGGAGGACCAAGGCAATCACAACACCTTTCGGGTGTGGCATGTGGAGGAGCATCATGAAGAACTGGGAATCCTTCAGTGGCAACATCTCTTACAAGGTAGGAAATGGAAGGAGAATCAGCTTTTGGAATCATAGGTGGTGTGGAGAGGATACTCTGAGGGTCTCCTTCCCCCACGTCTTTAGAGTTTCAAACCAGAAGGAATTGATGGTCCAACAGATTCGTAAGGAGCATGTAGGGGGGTAGAATGGGACCTTTCATTTAGGAGGAACATGCAAGATTGGGAGATTGCGGAGCTCCAAGATTTATTGACACTGCTATATGGGCAAGACATGCCTCAGCCATCTTGTGATTCTTGGAGATAGGGTTTGCGTGGCGATGGTCTGTTCACCGTAAAGTCCTTTTACCAGAGTATGTTGGTGAGAGAGGAGGCCTCTTTTCCATACTCCTCGATCTGGATTCCTAAGGCGCCCACGAAGGTGTGCTTTTTTGCATGGCTAGCGGCGAGGGGAGTGATTTTGACTGCTGAGAATCTGCGAAAGAGGGGAATTACACTTGTTAGTTGGTGCTATATGTGTAAAAGCTAAGGGGAAGAAGTTGATCATCTTTTGTTGCATTGCCCTGTGTCCTCGGCTTTGTGGAGGGCGATCCTGAACCTTTTTGGTGTTCAATGGGTGATGCCAAGCACTGTAAAGTAAATGCTATATAGCTGGGCCGGTTTCCGTAGAAGAAGAAAGCAAAAGGCATGGAAGTTCGCCCCGTTAGCTCTCATGTGGATAGTTTGGGGGGAGAGAAATAGGAGAGCTTTTGAGGGGATTGAGTCTCCTTTTTCACATCTTAAGAATAGTCTTTTATTTTTGATCGCTTTTTGTGCACTCATATAGCCCCTGTTTGTATAGAAGATTGGGCGTCTTTTGAAGAGAATCATGTTCTGATGTAAATTCTCTACTTTTTGGTATACTTCTTGTATACAGGAGTTCTCTCCCTTTTGATTAATACAATTTACCTTATCAAAAAAAAAGAATTTTTATATTTATAGTTTTACCCCTATATATATAAATTACTATTTGAAATTCTAAATCCCTAATCTCTCAATTCAATCAACACTGGCAGCACCGCAGTTCAACAATATAGATATCATCTATTTCCCTTGTTTTTGATAGTTCAACAATGTAAATATCATCTATTTCCCCGCACAGAGAACTCAACAGTTACTGCTTCCACTTTGATTAGCAATTTAGCATCATTAAGATTTCAGAATATCAGTAGGGGTGTTCATAAAAACCCAAAAAACCGAACCAAACCGAAAACCAAACCAAACCGACCAAAAAAACCGATACTTTTTTGGTTTGGTTAGGTTTTGGGTTTGAATTTTAAAAATCGGTCAAAATTTGGTTTGGTTTTGGTTTTAATCAGAAAAAAATCGAACCAAACCGACTATAGGAGTAGCTATTTCAAATTTATTATTACACCTATATATAAAGTGTCAAAAATTTAATGGTAAATGTTAATAATTTGCACTTTTTGTATAGTTCTTTACCTTTACATTCTAGTTTGATTGGTAGTTTTCTTTAGTCAAGTGTAAGAATCCATTTCGTGTTAAAAATAATATATT